GGGCCGGGCCGCCTGACGCACTTTGTCCCGGTTCCGCAGAGATTTCACCGACTCCAGAGCCTCCCCCGGCATTTAGGCGTCGTGGGTCTGAAAATCTGGTTCAGAGTCGAGACATCTAGAGAAACGCCTTTTATTAGATCAAACGGGTGAGGGAAGGGGGGGGCAACACTGCTAGGAAAACAGCTTCAAGGATTATGGCTTTTAACTACAGAAAATTTACACAAAACCTCTGTCGCTGACCGCATAGTAACACCGACGGGAACGTGCAGCCGCTCAGAGCGTGTAATCCAGGGGCACGTCCTTCCTCCTGAGAAAACTAGACAACTTCTACCTGAATTGGTGCAGAGAGGAGGCCACCTCCGCTACAAACCGGGAGAACTGCCAGGTTTATAGCTAGTTGCTAAAGAAGCTTTCACCAAAACAGTGATACAGGGTGTGCACGTGTCGCTTGCAGGGATCCACAATCAAGTACGCAAAAGTCTGTTCGTGGCTCTTGCTTGAAGGGTAACACAGGCCGTTATCATCCTGAGAGGAAGTAAAAAAAAAAAAAAGATAACAGTATTAGCAACAACATGGATACCCATGAGAGAATTCATGAAATCTGAATGAAATGTATCATTTTGTTCCCATTGTAACAGTTTATTTCATGGCAAAATAAAATACAGCATCGTTTATTTCAGCAGTTTTATGTCTCCATAAGGATCCTGACAGTACAAAATGCACAGTAGTTCTGTCTGAAGAGTTCCAATAACCTTAAGGTAAATGTAATATTAATATAAAATGTAAAATTAAACATGTAAGCACGTGTTTACACATTTAGAGCCTAAAATACAGATGATTAAACATATGACAGTCCAATCATGTTTCCTTTGAAACAAAAAAAAAATAAATCAGGGACTCAATACATAAAGTTGTTTTATCAGTAATTCCTTTTCACTTAACATTTGCTAATGCATCCGTTCAGTTTCAAAGATTTGCATTTAAGGAAAACCCTCACTCATTACAGCGCTTATTAACAACTTTGAACTGCTATTGAAAATGGTTTTTGTGCCAATCCTCTGGTAGGGTTTGAAGGGAATCTAGGCACCCAGCTCCAAAATCCTCATTCTGAAAAAAACACTTTCAGCTGACAATCAACACAAGAACTGGGCTCTTCACCTTAACATCCTGCGTCTGCACATGCCAATAAAAGTTTCAGTGTTGACAAGGCAGCACAGCATGACACACACTTCAAATTCAGTAGGGATCCAGAAACTAGATGGGGGGATTTTTGAAGGGTCGATATTATTTTTGTTTTTAATTCATTCAGTCTGGTTATTGAACATCTAAAAGATCAACAACTATGTAGCTGACACCTCCTTTATTTTAAAACAGGTAATAATTTCTTCCTGCTCCCCAGCACCTTTATACAACAGTTGAAGAGATGTAGGTTCTGTTTCACTTTTTTGCCTGAGGGAAATTGCTACATTGCATATATTGTCCATATTCTCCAGGAAAATTTTCAGCTATTCCAGATTAGAGGCACATCTCTCACATTCATTTTTCGAACCAAGGAAACATGTAAACTGTAACCTCTCTCAGTGGTTAAAGCAGTCAGCTTAGAAGGAAAAGGTCTGGGTTCCAATTCCTGCTCCAAGGAACATTTGTCAATTTTATCCAGTAGCTGTTACTGGCACCCCATTTTCTCTCCTGTTATTTCAAAGAGGATGAATCCCCTACACTATAGTCTGGTGTTTTCCTTTGGGGGATTATTCCAGACCATAAATCTTAAATTAAGATAAGCACCACCATAAAAGCATTGTTTAAGACTGGTGGAGATTTTATAATGTTTATTCACAGCATTTTCCAATGGTAGTCAAATGCCACAAACTAAAAGTAGCATTCCGTTTTTAAGCAGCACAGCATATGAGCTCTGCAGCTACAATTTTAAGACGCCTAGCTCTCTTCAGGTATAGGGATACATGTGTATCAAACACTGGATTCTCTATTGTAGTAAGAAGAGCAAGCTTTAGGATTTTACAGTACTCAGCATCACAATGCCTTTGGAATTTGATACAAAAATAGCCTAAGCTCATGCATGAAACCAAAATAAAGCAAGAGAAGACCAATATTGAGATGTGATTGCTAAACTTTTTCCCATTCCTACTGAAGATCCCACTCTGCAGTCCTTATGGAATTGGCAGATGCCAGGTGAGGTTCTGACTGTTTAAATGCAGTGTTAGTACACTAAGAATTAGTTCAACAACTGAAGAACAAAACTGAGTTAAGTTCTGGTGATGAGGCATTTCAGGAAACTCCAGAATATACCAAACCTGATATCAGGAAAATAATAAATGTAATCTAATTAAATGAAAAGGGTTCTTAAATTTATTTTAATTAGCAAAAGAGTTCATAAATCCCCTAAAATACTTGAGCAAAAAGGCTCTGGAATTTACACAGACTTACTCCAGTTTTTAAAGCAATAGGGGGCATGTACACGAAGTAAGAATCATACCAATTCCATCTGCAGTGTGGATTTTGGTTGCGACATGCAGGGGGTCTAATGATGGATTTAATGATGTTAGAGTAGGATCGTTTTATTTTATCTTTGTAGGAACACAGATAATCAGCTGATTATTTAAGAGTACATACGTATAGCATAATGCATAGCATAATACAGAAATAAAGATACTGCTGAACAGCTCTCAAAACTGCTTCATTTAATCAACAGGTTTTTTTAAATACTTTTGGAATAAACTATGCATTACACTGATTTCTAACACCGCCAAAGTTCAGGTTCAGGTAAAGAAAGTTCTAAAGCATCAGTTACCATCCAAATACTTCAGTTGTAACAATGTTTCCTTATATGCAAGCCCCAAAACTGTCAAGGTTATCTGGAGTTCAACAAAGTAGTTTGTCACAAGATTTAAAATTATTTCTCTTGTGATGCCCAGGTCTATTGAGTTTTGATGCTAAACAGATGTATAGGCATTTATAACTACACCTTAGTACCTTGCAATAATAACAGTGTGCTTCTTTAGATATTGTTTCCAAAACAAGGGCTCCTTAGCCACAGCTCAAAAAACAAATAAAAAGGAAGGGATGGTGTCAGAATGGTGTTCCATAAAGTTCGTAATTCCTGATTCCATTTGTACTTGTGCAAATATATAAGTATATTTATTTGTCCATTTATGAATCCTGCTTGCAAAAGTGTGTGCTCTTCTAGCTTCTCAGCTGCTCCTCAAGTCACTTTTACCACTTTTACCACAACTGGGCTAAGAGGGTATGTCCATTTCTTTCAGATACAAAGCAAGAAGACATGGCTTAAAAACTGTCAGCTCAATGTTAAGTTTTTTGATAACACACTCTACAATTATTCACCAAACGAACTCAGAAACTAAATCTACTGCAGAAATGTAGTTATCTCCTTGAGAGAAACTTGTCGGCACAAGCACAAGGTGTTTGTGCTCCAGTAGGTGCCCTTCCTGTCACTTCCAAGTAGAGTAAAGAGTTTTGATCCACAGAGCCATCAAACAATCTAGACATACCTGTTTAAGCCTTTCTCTATTCTGAGAGAAAACTCTTCAGGATGTTCTTCAATGCAAACAAGAATTTCAGAATTCTCCTTCACCTCATGAATTTTCAGAATGTGAAGCAAAGCCCAGTTTTCCCCCAAGGCTACAGGGAGGATAGCCTGCTCTGTATTTACACTGGATTTTCTTTTGACCATCCACTTTTTTGTTTTCAAAAATTTACCAGTCTTTTGAGTTTTTTGTTTGTTTGTTTGTTTGTTTTTTGTTTTGGTTTTTTTTTTTTAATACTGATGATATTTAATGTATGGCAAAGACAGTTAGGAGAACTCTTAAATATCATGCATCTACCTAAACATAGAAATCTGCAAAGTTCACATCACTACCTTTGATTCAGAGACAGGGAGGAAACAGCAGTAACAGAAGAACATCAAATTATCAGGGTTTTCCTTTTTTTATTTTGTTTTTATTAAAGTCTACAGCCTAGTAGAAAGGTAAATTTTGATACATCCATGAAGTGCTTATTTTCAAAAACTTTTCAAAAGCCTGTTATGAATCACACATAGTACTTCAAAGATGATGACCCACAGATGAACAAGTGGGCTATTGGCAATTTACAGGGAGTTTCTGCGGTCCAAAATGACATCAGCTAGTTCTTCTGAAAGTGTGTGCACTATCTGACATTTCATTATGACATATTGTGGTTACTCAAGAAGAATTTGGAGTAGTTCATCCTACTGCAACAATTAAATGACAGATGTGCTGAATCTAGTAAACATGCAGTCAGTTCTCAAACTTATCTTGATGGTAAATGTATGATTTTGCAAGAGAAACAGATAGAAATGAGACTTGACAACGGAGGGGAAAAGAGGTGAGCAGTCATCTCACCACCCCAGCCTTTATGTATACTAAACTTCCTTGCAGTCTTTACAGAAACAGATGCAATACAAGCTATTCAGAAAGCTCCAGTAATATTTCTAAAAACAGAACTACACAAAGTCAAGAGTGGATTCTTAATCCTTACTGTTATCTCAAGTAGATCTACAAAATTACTCAGACCTAAAGATATGTTTTTTTTTCATAGAGCAGTTTCTAGATGACCATTGTGACTTCCAGTGTAATCCAGTAAACCTATTTTTAGTGAGCTACCAAATAAAACTTTAGTTAACCACTTTAGTGGTTATTGAAGAAGAGTTAGTAAGAGGATGAGAAAGGAAGATTGAGTTCACAAATAAAAAATGACAGCTATGGAGAAATAACCCTTTAAATGGAATATTATGCTTTCTTTGTGTAAATGTCAATTCATTATCTTCGTGTTATGCATGTTACTTCCAGAAAAATCTTGTACCAAAAAATTATTAATACTTACATATGCAGACACTCTGAAGACTGTAGAAATAATGCATATTTCTTTTGTTTCAGGATTCTTTTGAACACTGAAATACAGGGGAATAATACATACTTAATACATACAGTAAGCACTGATTATTGGAATCTTTCATTTAATAAATACATTTTTAACACATGCACTGTGTTCTGAGTCAAATTTGATCAAGTTCAAATTAATAGTTAAAATTCAACTCATGTCATATTGACCATGACAAGGTATGTTGACCATTGTTAGAGAACGTGGATATTTTGACATTTTACTGAAAACTATTGAACATATCTAGTCATCTGAGTTGGTTTCACTGTTTTCAGCTACAAAATCACAGCAATATTACCCAGGCCTAGATTATTCCAATATAAAGTTTGCATTTTGATAGCTATGAAAAGTTATTCAGCTAAACATTTTGTAAAAAACTTTTCACAGATTCTTTGAGAAAAAAACTGCGAAGTGAACTGCATTTTAATAGAGACTACAAGAAGTAGCAGCACTGGTGAAGAAATGCAGAACTTTAGCTCATTTTTAATTAATATATAATTATAGTTTAGGGTCATTTTTCCTCATTTGGAATGTTGTATATATTGACAGCAATGCAACTTATGGTGGTATTAGTTCTGAATTTTTATATTTCAAGACAGCTTTTGTTGTGAAGACTGCCATTTCTTCCATCACAATTACTAATACCACTAAGATATTATTGCAAAGCATCCTGGCATCTCAACATATTTTAAATTTAAGTATTTTTAAATGTGTAGTTTTTCCTCAGGTCTGTTTTAAGTGATGCTTACATTTCTTCATAAATTAGATCATGTAATTTCTATTAATTTATCTAATTTCACAGGTTCCTATTTACATAAATTCACTGTGGAGCAGTTGAACCTTATAAATTCCATACTTACGCACTTCCAAGAAATGCATATCTCAAAACCTGCCTTGTCACAAACAGGTTCAGTTCCCGGGAAAGATCCCAATATAGCCAAGTTGCTGGAGGATATGTGTTAAACACAGCCGGGTTGTACCCCGCCCCAGCTCCACACTGTCTGTGACAGCAGTCCCCTATTACTACTGCTCAAAAAGCTTCTTTTTATAAGAACAAACAAACCAACCTCAAATCAGCCAACATCATCTTTGTTGATTCAGTCTCTCCCACTAATAAAAGAAATTGACTCTTTGATTAATTGATTTCATCTGCAGAGTAATGACACGTCATGTATGCTTTTAAGCCTATACTGTGAAGTTGTTCTTTCCTGTGGTGAGTCAGTCAGGAGTCTTTCTCAGGACTTTTTTCTTGCAACTGACATGTTGATATACTCAACAGTGGATTAAGACAGCGTTGCTGAAACTGGTACTGGCCCCAGTCGTCCGCCTTACCACCCCTCTGGAGATTACTGCCTTCCCAGCAGAGACAGCTCAACTGGTTCATGACTCAGCTTCTGAACCACTGCAGTTTACAGACCAGCATATTAAGATAAACTAACATGGATGTCAGTTTATGCTAATGTACCGGGCTGTAAACTGCAGCAGTTCAGAAACTGTTTAACCATCTCTGCTGAAAGAGTGACAACTTTCAGAAAAAGGTATAGAGGGTTAGTGGGGTTAGCACTTTCTCCCATATATCACCACCCCAAAAAGCTACAGTTGTATTTAAGTTACTCTGGCTTCACACATTCTTGTATCTGAAAACAATGCTTTCAATTTCTGTTTTTTTAAGTTTTATGTTATATATATCCAGGGTACCAAAGTAAGGGGTGACAGAGAATAAGTCTTCCTATTTATTCCACTGCCTTGAGAAATTTTCCCCTTGTGGTTAGCTTCCTGTAAGTAATTTTTCAGACTGAGTGTTTATTTCTAGTACTTTGGTTAATTTTTAAGGCAAAATAATACATCTGCCAAAATCAGATGAGATTTTTCCCTTGCTGACTTGAAAGAAACCAGGAGGTTGCCTTTGACAAGCTCATTTGCTCTATTTCTTTTTTCTTTTCCCTAAAAGGTTTTAGAAAAAACTACATTGTCTTCTTGAAGACGATAGTATTTCCTTAAAAGTAATAGTCTTAATACCCCCCTTTGTTCTTTCAAATTGTTAACTTCTGAACCATTCATGGAATATGGTCGTTCCTTCATCGTTTTAATGTGCATCTGTTCTCTTTTTATGAAGAGCAAACTTCCTCATCATCTCTCAATTCACTTTGGGTTGTATTTATATCCTAACCTTACTAGCAATATTTTATTAGGCTTGCCAAACATTAAAAGAACAACTCAATGCTTTCACATAAATTCATGTATTATGGAGGAAAGGGCATGGAGATGGCACAGAAGGAAGGAGAAGAGCACAATGACTACAGGATACTACAGCAGTTGTCACCATGGAGAGACACTGCCAGAAAACTCAGTGGCTGAGTACAGAAGACAAGATCTATCAACAAAGACTCATATATTATATTTTAATTAACAAGTTTCTGTCATGTAAACGTATCCATTAACTAAACTGAAAATACTACAACAAGGGTTTTGAAATTATTTATTACACTTAACGCTAAAATTTTGGATGGATTCAACTGGTCACAGATTAATTACTGCTGGATTAGTAACAGACAAGAAGTTGTGCATTAATTCATTAGGAAGCAATTATTACTCTTTTTACAAAGGAGAAAATGTTTGCCATTTAATAGCTGTATTTGGAAGTCCCTAGCTGTACTTGTAAAATACCTAGAGTAGTTAATTTAAAAAGATTATTGTGTTCTCTCATAATAAAGGAACATACATGGAAATGCTTTAATAAAATGAAATCTCAAACCTTTTGACACTATTTTGAACACTAGTGCCTTGGAGTTAGAACTTAGGAAAGGCTAGAAGGAAGGCTGTAAGAAAGAGAAGTGGGGAAAAGTTCCTAACAGGTCTGCCGCTCCCGGCACTAAAGACACGTTTGTGGAATGATTCATGCCAAGGCTCTTTTCAATAAGAAAAACTATTACAAGACCAAACAGTGGTGGTTTATACGTCTATAAGCATATCGTGATTAGACTAAGTTCATATGGGGGGGGCTAATTTTTCAATGCTCATCAGCTAGCAGCTAATAATTGTTGTACTATCCATTTGTTTTTCACCAAGGCTTCTGAGCTCTCAAGACATAAAAATTAAAGCTTAAGAAGAGTACAGTTTACAGAATTTTTTAATACTACAAAAAGTTTTTAATATCCCTTTACAAAGAGTAGAAAGTATCCAGTCCAAGATGAAAAGAAACCAGATGGGGGATAGCACTCTAGAAAAGAAGAATTTAAAGGATAGCTGTTGGGGGATAGCACTCTAGAAAAGAAGAATTCAAAGGATATTTGCTTTTCAACAGGAATTAGAAGGTGAACTGTTCGCTAAGCAGAATTTAAGAGTCCCCTACTCTCATTAGCAATTGTTTCCTGAAAATAAGAGGCCATAAGAAAGTAATTCTCATTGCTTTATTTTCGGGTGTAATTTGTGCAAAAATAAAGTAATACAATGCACAGCATGGACTAGAAATTACAAATGAAGTCAAGTGTCCCTCTTCAGAGCTTTCAATGGCTTTTTCTCTCTTAAGATGTTAGTTACAAAACAACAACATCATTTTGGATAAACTGGGGGCAGCAGGAAACAAGACAAAGCAGGAGACAACCGTGATTGTGAAGCAGGAAAGGAAGTCTGAAATGTCAGTTTCTCATGGGACTGACAGAGAACTCAATATCAAAGGAGCAAGATAAAAGATTTAGTTAAATTGTGAGTTTCTTTTTCAACTACTACTCACTATTAACACCGGCTCCACTGTCAGGGAGAAACCAGCCAACATCTGTAGGCACAGGAATGGAGAGACACGTGCTAGATAAATATTGAAGATCAGTTTTGTCACATGAGTTGAGTAGATGCACTTCAAAACTTTGGAGGATAGAAAGCAAGCTGCTGACTGACACACACACACCCCTCCCAACACCTTAAAACAGAGGAATGGATCTTGAAAGGTTTTCTCCTGATATTGTAAAAAGGACAGAAGAAGCACATGAGAAAAATGACAGGAATATATGAAGGGCCAATAGGGAACAGATTGAGGGTACAGAAAAAGCAAACCTTGAAAGCAGGATGAAATCACGGGGAAGATTTTGGCAGATGCTTCTTTTTTTAGGTAACAAGAACTACTTGACTTCCTTATCGAATTTCACAGCAGGAAAAGGAAAAAGAAGGGAAAAAGGCTTAAGGAGATAGGAAGATAAAGTAGTGGCTTAGAACAGAACTTGAACTTGTTTAGGAGAAAACAACTCAACAGCAAAGGGAAGCAATAAAGTGAAGGAATTGATTGGATTTGCGCTTTGTCCTAGATCAATTCAGCAACACAAGAGGAACAGCTGTAGTCAACACAAAGTCAGCTAAGGCCAAGGATTAGAGTAACAAACAGCTTGTTTCAAGTGCAGAGTGAACAATTTAAAATAAAAGGGTGTGTAGAGCTGAAGCACCAATATTCTGTATTTCTGAAGAACCCACTTGATTTCCGTCTATGTATGATACGAAAATATCAAAACTAATACTAACAAGAAATCTCTGGTGACTAATCACAACATTCAAATTAATACATGCAAAAATCTAAGTTCATTATTTCTAAAATATCTTGGAATATTGATAATGCTCAATTTATCTGTTTCAGTTGTTTCTCCATATCAACTGTTCTACTGCTACTTGAATCACTGATTTTAGATGACCCTGGGAAACGGCACATGACTAAATCTACTTGCACCCTGAAAAGTACTGACCATTAGGAGATCTGAAAGCTGCTTAGAAGTTATTACAGATTTGTAAGCTTCTTTGATTAAGTAATACAAAAAAATTTCAAAAACCATCCAAATAGTTTGTTGTAAATATTTTGTTTGGATACAGCAATCTATACACAAGTGCTACAGAAGTAAAGAAATATTCAGGTGATTAAGAATCACTGGGTATAACCCTTTAATTGAACCTTTGTTCAGACATATAAATTTTACTCTTAAGTTTATCCAAAGACATTTTAAGAACAGACTTAATGACAAATACATCTTACACTTTTTTTTCCTAATATGCTTGTGTATAATCTTAAAATAGGAGATGAAATAACAACTGGTCATCCCATCATTCCAAATCAAACTGAGAAGGAAGAAAAATATAAATTCCTACTTTAAGCAATTTGAAGCCTTTGTAGCATACAATTGTAGTGCATTACTTAGTATCCACATTATCAGAGTTCATGTACTATCTCTCATTTCAGAGGTTGGCAATTGTTTTACACTGTTGAGGTTAATATTGTTCTTTATACTATCTCATAAATACTTATTATGAGTGGCAAATTATAAAATTTTAGTAATATAATTGGCGATCTTCACATTCCCATTAGCTTAGCTAGGAATGAGTCTTTGCATAACCAATAACTACATTCCATTTCCCACTAACCAGGAAATAAGAAATTGTGTCAATCAGAGAAGTCAGCATATGGATATATCAAAACAGGGCCAAAAAAAGCCTTTTTTTCTGAATGTGAACCTCTAATCCATCGCTTCTAATTTCAAGAAAAAAAATAATAGAAAATTACAAACAATTCCATATACCAGACCTAGCAAAAAAATGTGTGTTAGTCCACTGCATCATGTCAACAGCCAGATTCTGTCACCCTTACCTTTACTCTGTGAGAAATGTGTTTTTGGAATTAACAATGACAAAATCCAACTGTATTTAAATAAATAATAATCAGCTGGAATACAATGTATACAGAACTAAAAATTTCAACTAAGATATTTCAATTTCTAAGTCCTAAGCCAAAAGCAGCTTGAAAGTAGTCCAAGACTATACATCCAAGACTTAATCATTGATATTTTATCAATGACAGTGGGAACACAATCTGGTTCCGGTGCCATGCCATATTTTCAGTAAATGATTACAGAAACAAAAATCTTTAAAATGGGAGTGAATTATAAAACATCAATGTCCACATATGTAACATAAAAATATATTCTGCCATTGGACTACTACCATTGTTACATGATATTTTGATAGTTGAAGACAAATAAGCTTGCAGATTGATAAAATAACAGCCCCATTTTTGAAGCAGTAATGCGCACTAAATTTACACAAATCAACACAAAGCATCTATGCAAAACACACATATATACAATTGTATTAAACAGAAAACACTCACCTCACCAAGTCTTTATATAAAGCTTTGGTAGTTTCTAAGTATGGGCCAACTACATCTTCAAACTGGCAAAGAGTTCCTCCAATGCAAAGATGCTTAAAAAGACAGAAGAGAAATTCCTTGCGATCCAATTGACTGAATAAGTCATAATGGTCTGAATCTTCCAGAAGCAAGACCTTGTGGAACAAGAAAATAACAAAGAAGTCAAATAGATGAAAATTTCATATTTAAGATTAAGTTTATAAACAGAGCAACTACTTTGCTGTATGTCACACAGAGTTTATGTCCATATAAAGTGTATGAACCAGGGGTGGAAATAAATTCTCTCTAAATCTTTAATCCAATGATGCAACTATGTTCAAAATTTATAGCTACAATATAAATCAGAATCACTGTCAGATTTATGCCCACAAGATATAAGGGAAGATTTTTTCAAGAGTCTTGTTATTAACTGGTTAATACTAATGAAACAACCAATAATCTAAAAATAATCTAGCTATAGTTGGTATGTTGATCACTCACATTTAGTTTGTCTTTGGTAACTTTGCCTACATTTGCTTTTTTACTCTAAGTTTACACAGTTATCTCCCATTTGTAAAGGAATCCCAAGGATCTCCCAGAAGACATCACTCAAACTCACATAATTCTTTCCTGCAGACTCCAGTGAGCCTTTATCTGTAGCCTGGATAAACCAGATATGCTATCCAGCTGCCTCCACACGTCTCACCTGCCTTTTACTGCAATATTATGTGAACACAAAGGACTTGACTTGCTAGATTAGTCCCAACACCGCGCACTGGTGGACAGGAGTTGTAACTCAGTATGGCCACGAGACATTTGAGTCACATCAGCCAACTGCAGATGTCAACCCAGGCAAACTGGTCAAAGCTAAACACGAGCTTACTGCTCTCTGGCCCTTTTCATAACATCACTACACAACCGGAGGAAGAAGGAGTCAGGGCAGCAACTGCTGTTGATGGCTACCTCATACATATCCCAGTCTCCTTGGCTTAAGCAAGAGAAGACAGGGCAGGTAGGAAGGAGACACGGAGTTTTGCAGATGAGGGCCACCCTCTGGCACCAGGACAGACAGTTTGCTGCCCCCTACAGACTACAGTGCTAGTGCTCTGACTCATTCAACCTGAAGCTTTAACATCGTTCCTGGAAGATTTTGACTCTTAATTCTTTCTACCATCTTAGGTCTTACAAGTAGGAATCACATTAATTTCAAACCAATGTGAATCTTTCAGCTTGCAAATGCAGACACACACATCCCTTCCAAGGGATGGAAAATGGAGACTGAACCTCCAGTGATTTCTTATTTTAAATGTGGCCTCTTAACTTTCCTACATCCAATATACTTCATTTTCAGAAAACATTTCATACATACCCAATTTATAAATAAATACATAGCATTTTAAGCTGCTAGGCTACAAACCACATCTGAAATTCAAACATGAGCTTGAGTTCTCTCCTTTTCCCAGAACTTTACAAGACAGACCAGTATTTCAGGCCACATCCTGTAACCAGTGTCACTGGTTCAAATACATTGCCTTCAAAGGATTTGCCAAGTGCAAATGAGTGCAACTCTATAATTATTAAGTACTTATGATGATTATATATACAAGGAAGAGCAAGATCCAGTTCTCCCACACTATGCTTTGCTAATGCTAAACAAACATGAGTAAAAAAAAAAAAAAGTTTTAACTTATAAAGTCAAAAGAAACACTTACAGTGAAGATATACGTTGATTAAGAAGATGCCACTGTTAAGACTCTTTTTCAGAGCAATTTGCTCTTTAACACCTCCACTGGCGTATAACAAACAGTTTTTACCTTGCAGTCCTGTTCAGGAGTTATACTTAGTCTTTTTCCAGTGTTACACTGAAAAATAATTTCCCTTTTCATAGTTTCCTCCCCTTTGTTTCAGTAAAAATATATGAAAATGCCTTTCCTTAAATGTCGTCACATATGATATGGTCAGTGTTCCTGGGCAGGAATTCTTCAGGATGTAGCTATGGAGTACATTTGATTTCATCAGCTACCTTGGAGGCTGGGTGAACACACAGCTCTGGGTATCATAGGACCTTTCCACTGGCACCTCTTGTTTTTCCCTCCTGGGCAAATGAGTAGCTGCATCGCTTCCTACCCAAGCACTCACTACTTGAGACAAGAATGGGTAGAAGAATGTTTTACCTTTTTCTCCCACCTAAAAAGGAAAGAGGGTCCACCTGGAAAACAGCCTTTACTTTCTGACAGTCAGGCACTGCAATGCCTCAGTCATTTGTGCCACATGGCTATCGATGCCCATTTTTACCATGGAAAGTATGTATTGCTAGAAAAAAATCCTGAAAAATATGTCCTTACGGTACCTAACAGAGGATGAAAAATTATAAGAAATTATTCATTGCTATACTGACCTTCCTTAATTCATCAGAGATGAGAATATCATTGTAATATTCATCATAACATTTCACGATATCTCCAGTTTCTCTAACAACTCCTTCAGAGTACAGCCGATCAAAAAATGACATGGAAATCTGTGTACAGGGCACCACTGTAGCTTCAATTTTTGTCACTTTGGAACCTAGAATACACAGGAAGGCTTCACTCCAAGTCTCTTGCAATAAATAGAATAGGAAAATTTCCATGTACTGATAGTTTCACAGTAATTCATAATTCAATACAGAGTGGAAATAATCAGCTTTTCTAAATGGTTGTGTGTGGCATACTCTTTAAAAAAATACAGGTCATATAAGTACGACTCAGTCGCACAGTCCCTCAAAAAAAACCCAAAGAAAGCAGAAGAAAGAAACAAGCGTAAAGAAAACATTAAATTCATCTGAATTCATCATTAATGCTCATGTGTCAGCTCCCCCTGTTGGCAATGCTATCAACCGAAACAAGGAATAGACGAAACACCATGTGAACTCAGCATCATTATTAGACCACACCTTTAGAGAGTCATATTTCACAGTTTAAGCCTTAAACAATCTGAAGACAAACACCAAATTTGGCATGATGAAGTACAAATAAGTGTTTGGTTTGTTAAGTATTATATCTGAACTTTTTGAAAAGTTATTTTGTAGCTACTGCAAGCTTTACTAACCAGCTATTTCAGAAGATGAAAAAGGTACTACCAACAATTCCTGTGTGAATCAGGAGTATTATCTTTTTAAACATTAAGTGCACAGTTCATTTTTCTATAATTTTTCTGTTTGAAAATCATCCAAGGCTTGATCCTGTTGCCCATAGACATCTAGTGCCATATGAGATGCCCTATGGTATTTTCTTTAATGAGGTATCAGTCCATAAGGGCACATATCTTCTCGATATACAGCGTTACATCTACAAATCTGTATGCATGGTGTTGGATGACTTATGGCATCTCAAATAGCATTAGACTCTGTGTTTAAGAAGCTTTGGACTCAGTCCAGTTCCATCTGCTCTCTGTAGTCCCAAGTGTTCAGACCAAATGTTAGAACATATTCTCTACTCATCTCCAAGTCCCCTCGAACACCCTTAAAAGTGCTTCTGAACAGAAGGGAGGAGGGCACGAGTGAGCATGAGCACGAGTGAGCATACAACACAAGGGCAATGTGTCTCAGCAGAGATAATATCCACAGCTTTCCAGCTTTCCATGACTTTTATCTTCTCTCCTCTGTAGGGTCCCTTGATGGGAGACTGGTCATCAACATCACAATATCAAAAGGCTTTTGACCAATACAATTAGAGATAAAATTAAGAGGTGTCCTGACAAACTGACCTAAAGGATCACTAAAGACTAGTATTTAGGAAATGTCCAGATTTCACTCTAGATGACAGTATTTCAGGAACAGAAACATGCCAGAAAGGGATGTATGAACTGTGATGCTTCCGAGAGCACGTATCATTTCATTCCGACCCTAATCTTTGTAAGTGTAGCATAACCTAAATTTTTTCTGCCCACACACTTCCAGAAAGTCTTTGGGATTTCTCCCATATACTATCACTTGGAGACCATTTATTCATAGGGTACCTAAACCCAGGTAAACTGTACCACCTACCTGGTCAGCACTAAGAAAAAAATGAAAGAGAAGTTACAACTGATGGCTTGAAAGTATGTCTACTTAAGCTAAAAATACTAGCATGAAATTTTATAATTATCTTATTGGGTCAATGTGATGTAAAGAAAATTGGCTATAGAGAAAAGCTTCACATTTAATTGCTTGGTCACATCTACAGATATGGTTATGAAAAAGGGTACCTTTTACTAAAGAAAAAAGGTTTAGGACAGTCTCCTACCTGTCCACATAGTGACTATCAAAAAATAATCAAATTATGTGAACAAAATCGCAAGTCAGACAAAACATGACTTGTAGCCTCACAACCTCAGAAAAAACAAACATTTTTTTTTTATTCATGCTTCCTCCCACCCACTCACCTCCTGACTCCTCTAACTTCTAATTCTCCAGCTTCCTTTCCAAGGGACAGAATTTTTATTTTATAAGAGATTTAATAACAGCTAAATCATCCTCTAACACAGAAATGATTTTGTAAAGACCTATGAATCAAAAACTGAGTCAAGACTAATAAAAATCATATGTTAAATGACTTGAGAAAAAAGAGACATCTTACATTTTCCTGGTTATTGAGCCCCAAGTACAAGAAATTGAGATAGTTATAGGCCTTCAAATTGTTAGGATTTTATTGGGGGAGGGGGAGGAAAGGAGACACTCTCTGCTCTGAAACAAGATTTTATGAAAACTTTCATCAGGAAAAAAAAATCAAGAGCTTTGTAATATATTCAGTGTTTCAGAAAACCAAACTATAAATGGAAAAGTTTAAATGTACTGGAAGATCTTATTCTCCATTTGAGAGGTGAGATATGAAACTGGAGATTCAGAATTTCCTGGAAAAGAGTGACCAGTTTTAATAACACTGTAAAAGTGTTATAGGAAGAAGAAATGCCTTGACAACTCTGCAAGTGGAAAACAAAGAGCTGAGAAGTACTGAAGCAGATTAAGCTTCTTACAACAGCTAGCTCTGGAATATCTATAAAGCGCTGCCAATATACTTCTAAATGAACACATTGCACACCTAGTATGGGGCAGATAAACCCCGGATTAGGTATATTTAGAGCTCCTCCAAAGTTCAAGAAAGAGTTTTGCCTCAGGGAAACCTCTTGCAACTTACTATTTACAGAACAGTTTACATAAAACATACATAATGCAAGTTCATTGCTCTGTACTAAAAAGATGGTATTTCAAAAGTAAAAGGTGAAGGTTCAAATTACATCAAAAATTTTTGCAAATGATAACCTGTAACAGTAGTCTGAAAAATTGTTGACTTAAGGTTACCTTCCAGATTTAAAACTCCCATTCCAACGACAGCAATCGTTAGACCTTCAAGTACATATGGCAGCTCAAGAATGTTTCTTAGGCAAATACTAACTTTTTATTTACAAAAAAAAAGACAGTAACCCTATCCCTTTGAAGATAACTTTTCAAGTGTTAATTGAGCTGAAGCAGACACAGTCCTGCCTCCCCACGACTGCTGACAGGTGCAAGGCCAGTAATGTGTCCAAGGAAAAACTACTATTTCGTTTTCATTGCAGCTATTTAAAAATACAAGACTCAAGACCTAAGTTGGTATGCATCAAATTTCTTCCTTTTGCTGCTTCTATTTTAGAAATATGAGAGTAACAGATGAAGAGGGGGGCTTAAAGCACATGGCAGAACTATCAGGTACTCTGCCATGCAGTCAGGAAGAGGGGAAAAAATGTCCTTACTACAACAGGCAAAAAATAGTGTGATGTGAGAATTGGTAATTAAGTAGCTGTCTGATCAAATGAAATAGACTGGAGAATATTCTTGTGTATTGTTTACCTAACATGTTATATTTCAAGTAATGTTAAAGCTGGAGTCCTTGAGACGATGTACCAGGTACCAGTTCTACCAGGAATCCCAATATGTGGGGGAGCTGGGGAGAGCGGTACATGTTGCATTCCTTGGGGACCCCATGTTTTATGCCACCTTTTGATCTAACAGATGGGGACTGAGGATATTAAGGTCTGATAATACTAAGGTGAGGATGAAAAGCAGTCAAGAGAAGAAAAAATTAGATTAGACACAGGAGAAAAAAAAAGTAATAAAGAACTTCTAGAAAAAGATTTTAGGAAAAGGAGATAAACAAGTAACAGAGAGGAGGTAGAGATAAATACGAAAGTGAAACCACGTACACTGAATTAAAAAGAAAAATAAATTCTTAGTGAGAATGTAAAATGGGACCACAGCCTGGAAAAAGACAAAAGGATTAGAACACTTTCATAAATTATTATTATATTGATATTTTATACAATGCTGACATCCTTCTGTCCATAAATACTTTCTACCCAAGCTCATGGTGGGGAGCAGAAGGGAAGTTTCTAAGAACCTATCTAAACCCCACTTATATTATGCATTCAAAATAAGTGTGTGTGTCCCTCCTGAAAAAAAATCCTAACATGTTCATTTGCAAGAGAATAAATACAGTATTTGAATCAACCTAGATCCTGTCATTTTCTTCAAATTTTCTAAAAAGCAAAATAAGCCCATTTACAGTATTTTCTTTCAAGAACAGGAACTTGTTTTTAAAACAGTTACTCCACTGTGATAAGTGAACGGTATATCTGGATTAATATATCAGCATGTCTGCAGAACAAAATACTAGAAGATGATTTTTCACCTCCTCCCACTCAAAGCTAATTCTTACTATATTTTCAAAAAATGCACATGAGGACTAAGTATAGAAAAATGTGCCAACATTCCTCACCAAAAATAGGTAAAGAATGGGAAGATGAAATTTTAAGAGCAAATGGGGTACACCAGCTGTTCAGGATTTAGAAGGGGAACCCTTCCAGCGCTCAGAACAAAATGCTTTACTTCTGTGCTGGGGAAGATTGAGCAGAATCAGGAGTTAAACTGGGATACTTGGCAAGTGACCCGCCCCTCTTAACATGAGGTATGTAACCTACTGACCTTCACTACAGGGACTGGCAAGTCATAGGCTAGACAGATAGCCTAAAAAAAATTCTTGCCTAAAGCAGGAAAAGGTTTACCCATGGTTTGAAATACATTTATTTTCTTTTTCCTTGCCAGAGTAAAAAAGAGGTACCTGAAGGGGGACTTAAAAATTTTTTTGCATCTTATATATTTCAATTATTTTAACAGCCAGATACAGTGTTTAGAAAATGGATTTTGCCAACAAAAAGGTGGCAGTGTCTAGTGTCATTGTATATAGTGGGGAAAACCTATGCCAATTCCAGAGAGCTGAAATGGAAAAGTTAGAAAATTCCCAAAGTGCCATTAAATATTTATACACAGTAAAGTATTTGCAGACAAACCTAAAGAAATGAGGACTTCCAACTACCACCTTCTAAAAGACTTCCATTAAGAAAAAGAATTTTGTTGATATCAGAGTTCACGTTACGCGTAAAATCCTATTACATTATCATGGGCAATTTCCATGAAATTTTGTGTCATTTACATAATAAAAACGCAATTTCAAAGTGGTCCCACAAAATCATGTGCTACTTGCTTTTGATCTTTCTCCTTTAGTGTCTCATCTCCATCTACAGACATAATCAAGTGTTATAAGCAGTTAATGATATGGCAACAAACTAGAACAACCTATCACATGGCTCTCTTTCTGCTCCAGGATCGCTTTTGTTGTGCAGATAGCGTATTTACACAAGCTCAGGGGTGTGCTCTATCTAATCTTCTGCTCTTTCAACTTCAATATGTAACAGAGCAATAATCTCAGATCATCCTAAGTAGGGTGGCTGCATCTATATGAGTGTCTTTCTCCAAATATTATCTGAATAAGGTAGTACTATAATTCTACAGCTAACACAGTTGATTATACCTGGATACATGATCAGGGCAACTGGATGTCACAGACCATTTAAAAACACTTCCAGTAGCTTGATTTATGGATTTATGCAGGGGTCAAGGAAAAAAAAGTGTAAAATGTGACATTTTAGTAACAAACTAGGTAAGAATTTTTTCTTATTACTTAGTAAAAGAAGTAATTCTTTAAGATATTTCAACAAGGTGAAGATACACATATATGAACTGTCATTATTACAAAATGGTAAATTAGAGGAAAATAGTTACAACAAAGACTTTTTATTTAAGATTAATTTATTCTAAATTTACCCAATGTAGTCCATTGTCCTGAAGATGAGAGCAACTTTAAACTGGAATTCACATTTTGATCATTAAAAAATGCCTATAATGTTCAAATAAGAGAGTACAAGTTAATGACATGAAACATAAAATCATCATTTATAGTGCCTTAGACACTTTCAAAGCAAATTATAAGGACCCAATTAGTAAGTAGGTTCTGAATGATCTTTCCATTTGGATACTAAATATCACACCACCAAACACATGTTTTTGTAACTTAGTGTACAGTGTCTTTTACATATTCAAGGCATTTTCATGTACATATTTATATATGCAGTATTAAGATTTTACAGTAAAGTGCTTTAGAGATGAAACAATTCTATCTCTGCATGCAATGCTGTTAAAGTAAAAAATTAAACGCTAAGTACGACTGTAAAATTTACTTTTGTAAATAAATTTGAAGCTTGTAGAAGTGTCAAGACACACCAAAATTATTAAACAGATACAGAAGAAATCCATAAATTATTGAAGGGATGTTCCATAGTAAGATTTGAAGTATTCAATCTTCTTGATTTATCAATTAAAAAAGGAGATATGCATAGTAATGTTGGTAGCTGACAAGTTTAAATGATAGATAAGCCACTTAAGAAAACCCACACTTCTGCATATGCATGCAAGCAGAGTGAATAATCACTGAAGAAGTTGCTAAGAAAATTATGAATTCTTCAGGCTCTGCATCACCAAATCCTTTTACCACCTCTCTGGGATAGAGAGATCACGCTGCATAACGTAATGGTCCCTTTGTTCTCAGTTAATTCACGGCTACTCAGAGTTCATAATTTCATAACAATATTTTTATATTTTTAATTCAAAAAATACAAGAATTGTGAAAGTAAATGCATATTTTTTGAAAACTTCAATCATTTGAAATGTTTGTCTGTGGGAGAAGTACTGGCATATTTCTGTGTGAATGTCTTTAAAATACAAAGAGGCTGAATTCTTTATCTAGTATAACAATATAAAATAGACAACAAATCAAAGAGCTGTTTTTAAAACAACAGATGTAAAAACCACACTGTTTTTAAAACCAGAGATTATTTTTTTTTTCTGTCTGCAAATAGATGAAGAGTCTTGACTTTGCAGACAACAAAAGTGGAAGACACAAAATCAGCCAAGAGACTTGAGTCTCAAAAGGCTGAGAGCCCAAAATTACACTATAAAGCAATGGCATTCAGTAAATTTTAAAAACTTGCATTTTCAGCTATATGGTGCATATGGATATCTAATTGCACAGTGTATTTACTACGACAAAGTAGTAGTAGCTGTGAGCAAGGGTACCAACTGCATGTGCACTGTTTGAAGTCTCCCCCTCTGTGGACTTCCCAAGATTAAATGTGGTGGCCAAGATCAGCATTCAGTTCAGGTTCCCATTCTTGGGAATCTTGAATGACTAAATTGTTCCCTCTTAAAACAGAGTAACATTAGTACAGACTAAAATATTTTTACTGGACAATACAGTTAACCCACAAAGTAAGAGCTGAGCACCACACCTAAATCACCTACTTTCAAGGAGACAGTGAGCAGGGGAATAGCATGTCAACACTGCTACAATGTTTGCCGTTATGCAGTTTTCCAAAAGCTATAATTTCATGGAAAAATTCAACTTAAAATACAAAGGACTTAGAACTACCATAACAAATTCATCCTTCTGATAGGGCTTAAACTGCTGGTCAAAACTGAACGCTTGTGCCGTGATCCTGCCTTGCATGGACCTGAAATGGAAAAAAGAGATGAAATATTCTGCAGACATAGTAGGTACTTATTCACTCTGCAAATTTGCCAAGGTACACTACATAGTCCTGTTCTGACCAATAATTATACTTTTTTCTTTTTTTCACTCTGACTTATGACCGCTTCCCACCCTTCCTTGGAGGCCTGGGGGAAACACAACTGCTGCTAGAGCAGCATCAGAGCAATGCTGGTGAAGCTGAAATACATCTTGGCTAACTCAGGAAGACAAGGATAAACGCCCAGCACTGCAGAGCAAGCATTTTATGTGCCTGAAAAATAACAAGACTTGCAATTAAAGGTAAAAAAGAAAAAGAAAAAGGAAAAAGGGAAAGAATAAAAAGGGAAAAAAGAAAAAATAAAAAAGAAAAATAAAAAAGAAAAAATAAAAAAAAGGGAAAAAGAAGAAAAAGAAAAAAGAAAAAGAAGAAAAAGAAAAAAGGAAAAAAGGAAAAGAA